AATATTATAGCTTAGCTTAGAAGATATAGGGAAGAAAGGGAATTTTTATTATTATTATCATATAAGGAAAATAAAGCGTGGCTCAGAGAGCATGTATCACATTTTCAGCCTTCGTTTCGTCAACATTGGTATTTGTCAACCAGGACGAATTTACATCTCGTACAACACGAATTTTGCTCTCCCTTCAGGCGAATTTACTTTCCGGAAAGTGTACAACTAGCATTGTCTGAATTTGAAATGCCAAGCCACAAAATTTTGAGGATCAAAAAAAATTATTTTATTTCAATAAAAAAAAAAGCAAGTGTAAAGTTGCCTAAAGAAAGACTGTTTAGTAAAAGAAAGTACAAGTATAAAGTATAGTGTATATTATTCAGAGAGGGCAAGTAACTATTACGATCATTGAGATTGGTCCTAATGTTGCGTATGTGAACCAACCCTTCAGATATCTCGACTTGATCATCAAAATATACACATTGTATACCCATTTAGGGAAGAGAAAAAATAATTACCTTAACAATAGTTCATTGATAAAAAGAAAAAAAGAAAAGGAAAGAAAATAAAATAAAAAGTTTTTATATGTAACAGAAACTACTCCGGTTGAAAAAGTGACAAGAACACCGCCCAGCAGTCCTTGAACGTTGCTCTCCGAATGAAGGGCATCTTTTATTTTACAGCCTTTCCATTTCAAATTGTCGCTTTCTGTATCAGGTAATGAGAATCGTAATCGTGTCTGTCGAGATGCTATGGAATCTTGATTAGAGTTATCTTGTTTGGTGCCATCAATGGATAATTAGGCATCCATCAATAAAGTCAGATTGCTATCTTGATGTCGAAAGAAAGGTCGGAATGCATGATAATTAGGATTCTGTTTACGTAAACTAGAGAGTGCATTGTCTTCTGTAGCAGAACAAGAGCGATGTGTACCACCCGATAAAGAACGTTTGATCTTGGGTGGCTCAGGTTCTTCTTGCATCTGAAATGGGAATGGCACGCGTTTTAATAGTGCATGACTGATGAGATCTTCCTTTTGTTTAAATTTCCGTGGCTAGAAACTGAATAAAGTGGAGATATTACTGTCTATCGGTTTAGTGAGGGCAAGTAAGGAAGAGTTGATGTCATCTGCAATCATACGTAGAATTTCTTTATCAACGGTAGCAAATCCACCTTCAGCCTTAATAGAGATCCATCGTTTGACCAAGAATTGAGCACATTTAATACGTGTGTCCAACAGGGCACCATCGACAGCCACATTCTTGGCCATCTCTTGTCGACTCCCTAAATCACGTACGATACCTTGATATAAAACAGCTGCCTTACCATCATGAATACCCTCTGTTAAGACATGACAGCACAAAGGCCAAAAAATCAACAGAGAAGCCAAAGCTAATACCATCTACATAGGATAGCGAGATGGAGTATTCAACGCAGTAATAGTCAAAGCGGTTGACAATCATCTGAACATTGGATTGAAGGAAGCTATTAAGGATAGTCAAGACAGGTTGAGACCAGCTAGGAAAGGGATCTGCATCACGTAAATAAAAAAGACAGAAATGAAGTGAATGAAGGGCACATACTGAGTTGTGGCGTGTCACGTCGAGTGTAGTACGTTCAGTAAGATCGTTCAGTAATAAGGAAGAATAAGAATAATAATGGCCTACTTTAAATGTAGAATAAGAGGAAGAAGAAGTTGTGTTGGCAGCCACTGTTGTTTGAAAAAATATCTGAAATAGCCAGTGCATCATCTTCTTTTGTTGCTGTTTGTTTCGTATTGCCTTGTCCTTTTTCTTTTACCAATGCCTGCTGTTGTTGTAAAGAATTGGTCAAGATAGCAAATGGCTTTTGTGACCATAAGGGCGCTGAAGGGTACAAAAGATCGGCATACAATGTGACCAACTTGTTTCTTAATTCAGGCACCCATTGAGCATGTTTATCAGCAAGCAACAGCGTATTCTGAACAGACACATTTAAACTGATGACATAGAACAGTTGTCTTCAATAAAGCAGCTCTTCCGATAATTTGAAAATGGCCCAAGAAATCAGTTGCAGGAAAGAACATTGAGAAATACGTAATGCATGCTTTTTTTGTTTGATGCCAGTGGTCAATGATTTATCCAACTGGAGCAAGATCAATTGATCTGTATAGAAATAGTGAAAAATGATTTGCAAAGTATTGAGTGAAAACAAGTCGGAAGGAAGATGAACAGAAGAAGTAGAAGGCTCACGAAGCTATGTACAAAAGGCTGAATAGAAATAAGCATATTAACTGGCAAATAAGAAACGAGGAAAGGAAATGGAAGGTTGTGATAGTTTTGTTTGATGAAATAAACTGATAGTGACATCGATATAGATATATTCATCTAACATGCGTTTCAAATGTATAATCCATTGCTCATTATACGTTGAATCTGCTTTCGGTAATAAGTCAACACCTAACTTGGTATCGAATTGTTGAATCTCTCGTCTTAATTTAAGTCCCACTTCGGACTGAAGTATACAAGATGATCCATAGAGAGAAAGGCCACTGATGTCTGAAGAGATTAAAGAGGTCTCATCCAGGGGAAGTGTAAAGTTAGCAGTGTACCAGAATCGGAACAATTGACGAAGTGTTGTGTAAGGGATGACAGAGCTCAGGTAAATCGATTTTACAGATAGGCTGGAGTGGTATTTTTGTGAAATGAAGTGGACATTCTTGTTTTTAATATAGCTTATTATCATTAGTTTTTTATGATAAGTTTCTTCTATCAAGCTCTTTTTTTTCTTTTTCTTACCTTTAAGTGCCAAGGTAGTGATATGTGGGCATTCGATATAGATATTAGCTACATATTCCTGTGCATTTTCTAAAGCAGTAAAGAGTGAGTGTTGAAGTGTCTTTTTGGGCATTTAAACATAAAATAATCAGTAATAAAAAAAAAGTGAAAAAGAAAGAAGAAAGAAGAAAAGGGGGAAGAGTATGCTTATTCTTCAAATTCTAACGTCAAGTTGACGATTGCCTCTTTCCATTGGAGTATTTTGGTAATTTGCTTGATGTATTCGATAAGCAATCTTGGTGTAGTCGGGCATCGAAAAGATGTATGGATTTTCCTATAATACTTTCGCTTATGAACAAATAGCTCTTCCAAGCAAATCTTGCCATCTAAGTCAATTAAATATATACATTGTTACCTTATTGTGTCAATGAGTGATTAATATTATTATTTGATTACCATGAAAGCGGGCGCAGAATAATTTCTTGGAAACACTTGAAGGCAAACTAGCAACAACGTTCATCATATTTGAATATAATTTGTTGATATCTGAAGATTCCTTGTTAATCGTATTGTTGACTTTGGTTCCACCAGAGAACTCGATCAAGACTGGGGACACTTTCTTGTTATTAACTTTTAAAAGCACACCATCCCACTTACATCTACTGGTTTGGCAGTATTCATTCTCAATCCATTCGAATGCAACCAAGTCATTATTTGCTAAGAACAATTGGTTCATGATGTAGATGATTGTATGGATGCACGCAGCTCGTTCCCCAGTTGCTTGCTTCAATGGGTTATTCGGACTGTCCATCAAGTCAAGACTATATTAGTGAAGGTTAGAAATAGATTTTTATAACTTTGATCAAAGAGCACTATACTTACAAATGGCGAACAGTTGTTTCTATGAAGTTGGCATCATGGTTTAAAACTAAATTGAACGATTGTTTAAAGCCAACTTGATATAAGATACTTCTGATAGAGACAGTTGCCAGCTTTGAACGACAGAGGGCAAATATCAGCTCTTGAGCATATGCTGTCAGTTCAATATCTGGTAGTGATGCATGTTCAATGATTTCAGAATAATCTTCTTGAGAAAGATGTCCTTGAAGCATTGATACAACAGTGTCTGAGCCGAGATCTAGAATCCCTAAGCGGCCAACTCTTTATACGATATAATTAGTAATCTTACAGAATGAGTTAATACTTTGGGCATCTTACTTGTCTGAAGACAATTCTGCTGCTAGAGATAAAATTTCTTCCAGTGATTGCTCTGTGGCCATTACGGGGTTGCTAGTGTTGATAATGTTGTTACTGCTGCTGCCTATATCAACAGCGTTGTTTTTAGTGTCATAGATGCTTACACCAGCCTGATTCTTATAACAGATATTAGTATAAAGGAAGGCTGAATTAATTTCATTTTACAATACCTCTTGTGCCAGCTTTTCTATACTTTGGCATGTGATATCATTTAGTCTTATAATTGTTTCACTCTGCCTTTCTTGTATGGTGGCTTTTGAACTTTCCCTCCTTCTATTCGTCCAGTATGCGCCGTAATCTTTAGAGAATCCTAGATGTTCTTTATTCTTTTTACGTTTCTAGAAAAGAAATTGAGTTAGCTAAATAGCAGAGTTTATATGTAAGTTTCTACCTCAAACTTGGATTTTGCTTTCTCAACCAAGTGAATCAGCTTTTTGCTCTGTCTTTTATTTGACAACAAATTCAATAAATCACTGTAATGTGCATTTGTCGCGTTCTCATTCCCATTGAATATGTTGGCAAACGAAAAGTAATTTAATGGATCGCTTTCGTCTTGTAGCGCTTGTTGCAACCAGTCCTTAAAGGCATAATTTGCTGACAGACCTGATATTCTTATTTGGGGTATTGTCTTTGGCATAGTTTTTTAGAGATCAACAAAGAAAAGAAAAGGATTTAGAGTTAGCTCATTGATCAGGAATGTGAGGTGCCTTCGTCATTCCTAACTTGTAGATCCCCCTGACCCCTTCTCTCTTCCTAAAAAGGCTTTATATGTGTCCTTTGAAATAACGTCGGAACCACAAAATATCGATGGTTGTGGGACTTACGTAGTCTTTTTTTTTCTTTTTTCCTTCCACAAGAGAGACAGAGAGAGAAAGGAAACGATGGTTGACGAGATTGGTAAACATCTACGCTTTCAACAGTAGCAGTAGGTTAAGACAGCTTCGTCCCCTCTGCAGTCTATTCATGATTCCACTTGTCTTTACTTGTGGTGCTTGATATAGTATGTCGCTACCTTTACTTCAACTTTGGGGTAGCGACGCAGAGACAACCATCCTTAGAGGACAACGAGATTGGTAAACATCTACGCTTTCAACAGTAGCAGTAGGTTAAGACAGCTTCGCCCCCTCTGCAGTCTATTCATGATTCCACTTGTCTTTACTTGTGGTGCTTGATATAGTATGTTGCTGCCTTTACTTCAACTTTGGGGTAGAGACGCAGAGACGTCTTCTATCTTCCTACTCTCTCTTTGTCTCTTGTCTTTTTTTTGGGATAAGTATTACACTTGTTATATTGTTTGTATTCTGCTTAACGATTTGTTTTTAAGCCTAGGTTATATTCACAGAATGGAATTTTGTCTACTTCAACAGGTTACTGGACCATCCTTGATCATAGCTCCCTTGTGGACAAGGGCTTCATGACGTTCCCCAGATGGTTCTGTCCATCACTTCGTTATGCCCTAATGATGTTGTCCTAATAATACTATCTACCAAGCTGTTTTGCGAGTGACAATCGCCATTTAGATTATCCACTTTTTACTAGAGATTAATACACACTCAAAATAAAATTTTGCTTGATGCGTTTTGAAATTTTGCCTGTCGTCTTTTATAGCATTTTTTTTCCACTTATCGTTTCAGTATTTCAGATGAGCAGTTTTGCGCAGACAGTCTTTGAAGATGGAAAAGGAGAATTGAGCGATGAGCAAGGTGGTGAGCTGTTGGAAGTTGACGATATGGAAATTCAAGTGAAGACTTTGGTTACGATAGACCAGTATTTACATCATTAACTGAATATCGAACCTGAGTTGGCGAACAAGCCTCCTCAAAATTTAGAGAAGCCTACCACGGATACTGTACTGGTCACGACGAAGAAAAAGTACACCAACTACTCAGATTTTGATAAAATGAACTTCATTTTGCAAATGCTAGCCAAAAACCCTAAAAAAACGGCACCAGTAGCGGGAAAATATAATATTCATAAAAGAACAGGTCAGTGCTGCTGGAATCAGTACAAGAATTATCCAGATTCGTTTTTCTTACCGAAAACCCGAGACGATCGCAAGAAGTTACAGAACACCAAGATTTTTTGGTAGTATTGCTAGACAAAAATCCCTCTATCAATGTTGATCAGACCTTATATCAATTAGCTGCTAAGTTTGAGGGGTTGAACATTGGAAAGTCAGCAGTCTACAATTTCATTACAAAGGATATGGGGTTTACGTTCAAACAAGCTGAGTTTCAAAACTTGAAGAGAAACAATGAAGGTGCAATTCGGGCAAGGTACGAATGGGCGTGGAAAATCGCCAATTCAGATATAGATTGTCTGAGAAACTGTGCCCTCATTGATGAGTATGACTTTCACATAAACATGGATTGTAAAGGAGCTTGGGCTTCAAGGAGTGAGACGCCAATTGTGAAGGTTGAGAACACCAGGACTGTTTCCCATGCCATATTGGATGCAATCTCAATTTATGCAGTTGTAAATGTTAGTGTTAGAGTCCCAAGTGTATATAATACTCAAATTGCTCCTGTGGATGTAAGAAGAGAAACTTGACAAAGGAAAGACTCAATAGCCAAAGCCAAAAGGAACCACGGCAAACCACTATCTGCGCTTTTTGAAAGAGACTCTTGATGTCATGAATAACTTTGAATATATGCGTAATTCATACTTGGTTATGGATAATGCCGCCATACATCAGCGAGCTGACATTCAAGAAATGATCGAAGAACGAGGCTATATATGTGTGTATTTACTACCTTATTCTCTTGAGTTGAATCCCATTGAACAACTCTGGTCGGTTGTCAAGAGTAAACGCAAGAAACATGGAATTCTCCAAGAAGAAACACTTTGTGGCCGTATCAAGGAAGCTTGTAGCTAATTGCCTCAAAGATATCTTTATGGTTTTGTTAAGCGCTCTCATTCATGTTTGGAAGATTGTTTAAATAAAAAAGCCATTTAAGTTCGTACAGAGCTGAAGCTTTTGATAATTTTCTTCCGCTAGCTTGTTACTGTAGAAAACACACCACATTTCAAAAGCTTTTGTATAGAACTATAGATGCCTAAATTTAAACACATATATCCTATAACATAAAGCATATCGCTAAGAGAGCAGAAATGCATAGAAAGAGTCAAAGTACAAGTAAAAAAAAAACGACAATTAAAAATACAGAAAGCGACAATATGAAACGGAAAAACTGTACTTGAGAAATGAGCCCTTTTTCCGTTTTCCATCACTTTCCATAGATTCTTCCTTTATTTGGAAAGATGTCCACAACAACAGGCTTGTACATGACAACTGTAAAGCAGTTACAACCAGAACTCGCTGCAGCCAAGGCTGAGATCAACCGACTCAAACAATAAAGCGCTTCCCTCCTTGAGCGATTAGCTCACGCGTCCAACACTGCTACTTCTAAGAAACCCGCTTCCACTATGGTCTCCTCTCCACTGGTATCCTCTCCGCTAACGTCTCCCTCACTGGCATCTGAGTCCTCATCGCAGCCCAAGCCTCCTCAGAAATGTCCTCCGTCTTCTGATTTAGATTCCTCGGCTCTTCAAAAAGCTGCCATGCCCCTTCAGTGTCCGTTCCGCCAGTCATGGCTACAAGTTCCTATGCCTGCCTCTATGCCACCACCTTCCTATAGGTCAACTACGTTCACATCTGCGTCAACTGAATATCAACGTCCGCCGTATTCTCAACATCCATTATCCTGATCGTCACGTTGTTGCCCTCCTTATCCATAAAGATTATGAAGTTGGGTTCCGTTCACAATTAAAAAAATTTAAGATTCCCGTACAGGACGATTATGATCCACTAGATCCCTCGAACCTTCGTGACCCCGATTACAACGGCTGGAACGAAGCGAACAGGACGAGAGCCGCATGTGGCCTGTTTCTGTGTCGTATCCTTCATGCTCTCGATTACCTTAAAGATCCTGTCAAACAGGCTGTAGCCAATTTCTTCGCTAACAAAGGATATATTGATAGTAGTGAATTCCTTGAGCTTTTTCCCGTCAAAAAGACATGAACTCCATTTACTATTCTCTCAATAGTCTTCCTTTCTGAGATTTGCTTTTCTATCCCTTTCTTCAAGCCACAGCATTTTTACCCTCAATCTCAGAAGGGTTTTTAAATACTTCTTTCATTCTTCGAACTGACTGGGGCAAAGCGATGCAATAAAAGCATCATGTGCCCTTTATGGTCTTTGTATTTTATAAATAAATAAAATATCTTTAAACGTATTAAGAAATGTTACTCCAACTGTAATCCTTTTGTTTTCGTCCAAGTCCCTGCATGCACACACAATTAAATTAAAACCGTAAAGATTCTTCACATGCATATATTTATATATGCCACATTATAATACATCTTCTTCTTTTTCATTTCTTTCTCTTTGAAAAACAAAATGTTTATAAGAAGAAGAAAGTTTATTGGATGCCAAATCCTGAGTATCGTCACTATATTAGCCTTAATGCTTTATCTACGATTCCCTAAACGAGTCATACCCTATCGAAGTAACAGCCCGTTAATAAAAAAGACTCCTGTCAGGGCTGCCTTTGTTATTTTGGCAAGAAACTCAGACCTGACTGGTGTCAGACACTCGATGCGTCAGATAGAGGATAGGTTTAATAGAAACTTCAATTATCCCTATGTGTTTTTAAACGACAATGATTTCACTGACGAATTTAAGCAAAAGACATCTCATCTGACAAAGGCACAGGTGTATTATGGTAAAATCGAGCCAGAACAGTGGAGCTATCCCGACTTTATCAATCAGACCAAAGCTGCAGAGGGTAGAAAGAAATTGGAAGAAATGGAAATTCTCTATGGGGGAAGTGAGTCCTACAGGCATATGTGTCGGTATCAATCCGGTTTCTTCTTTAGGCATCCTCTTTTGGACTCGTTTGAGTATTACTGGTATATAGCAACCAGTTTATTGCGTTCAAGAAATTTAATCCTATCTTAGGCGAGTGGAGCCAGAGGTTGATTTTTATTGTGACATCGATTATGATGTATTTCAGATGATGAAGGATAACGAATTTAAATATGGTAAATACTTTCATGTCCTATGGTAAAAAACTAATATGATCTCTAGGATGGGTCATGTCTTTAAGCGAGTATATTGAAACAGTTCCTACACTTTGGGATACGACTCAACAATTTATGGAGAAACATCCTGAATATATAGAAAGAGGCAATGATAGTCTATTATCATGGGTTATTGGAGATGATGGATCATATAATCTCTGCCATTTCTGGTCAAACTTTGAGGTAATCCTTTTCATTGTTGATATAAAACATATAGTAATAATCTTATAAAGATTGCCTCGTTGGACTTTTTAAGAAGTAAAAAGTATTTAGATTATTTTGAACATCTTGATCAACAAGGAGGCTTCTTTTATGAAAGGTATTAAACACTAATCATTGGACAAAGACTAACCCGTGCTTATATAGATGGGGAGATGCTCCTGTTCATTCTTTAGCTGTAGCCATGATGCTAAAGTCATCTGAAGTACACTTCTTTAATGATATTGGCTATAAACACATACCTTTGACTCACTGTCCTATTGAACCATGGCATCAAAGGAAGTGTTCTTGTGATGAAGAAGAAAATTTTGGTAAGCGATCAAGCGCTGATTAAATCATCTAACATGTCTATAGATTGGACTGACTGGAGTTGTACGTCACGCTATGCTCAAGTACACAGCGGATTCATCTGGAACGAAACAACCTATAGGCAAATGACAGATCCATACCGATTAAGCCCTGTGTAACATTTATTTTTTAAAATGACTTTTTCCCTTTTTGTTGTTGTTGTTTTTCTCTCTATCCATTAAAATGTTAGATCTTTTTACCATCATTACCAAGGGTGGTTTTGTATTATGGCAAAAGACATTTGCACCCATCTCTGGATTTCCTGTTCAAGAATTGATTAAAAATGTCTTGATTGAAGAACGATCGGGCACAACAGAGTATATCCAAAACAACTATGCTCTAAGGTGGACATTTGCAAATGAAGCTGAACTCATCTTTGTTGTCGTCTATCAAAAGATTCTCACTCTCAACTATCTTGAAGAACTCTTGGAGACTGTCAAACGTGTCTTTTTAGCTACCTTTCAAGACATCCTCCAAAAGGACTCAAACGGTGACTTTACTTCCTTTGGTCCAATTTTTGATAAATTACTAAAACAGGTGGAAGAGAAATATGCAAATCTAAGACAAAAAGCACCAAGAAAGTTTGAAAATACAAAAAAATTTGAAAGTACTCTAAAGGCTTCTCAAGCACAGAATAGTAAGGACATGTACAAGTATATGACTGAATGATTCATTTTATTATTTATTAGTGGGAGCTCTTCCAGTATCTACTGCAGCAAACACACAAGTGGATGAAGATGAAATTGCTAAAAACATCCGTGCACTAAAGATTCAAGGTAATAGTCCACGAACAAAGGGAGCCAAGAAACCTGCAAAGACGGTCAATAAGCAGCAGATACCAGAGTAAGACAAAAGGGATTATTCGTTTTGGATCTATCATTCATCATTTTGATTAGAGATACACAAAAGAAGAAGAAATCACAAAAGCAAGCTCGTGTATGGGACGGCCAGATTTCAAAGGGAGAAATGGAATCATTGGACTATTCGTCCAAATCAAATGGTGCTGATGAAGCGCCAGAGACAGTTGCTTCTCAATGGGTGGATGAATCCAAGCTGGGTAAAAAGAATGAAAAGGGAATTTACGAAGTTCAGGATATCATGCAACAGGAGAATGAAGAAGACGAGGATGAGGATGAGGAACTAGATTTTGATCAGCCAGTTGATCTGCAAAAGAAATCGGGTGGATTGTTTTCCTATCTAAAGTCATTTACAGGCTCAAAAGAATTGACAGCAGAGACACTAGATCCAGTGATTGCAACTATCAGAGAACACTTGGTTGCTCAAAACGTAGCGACAGAAATTGCTGATCATCTGTGTCAAAGTGTCAAATCAAGTCTCCTTGGAAAAAAACTTGGCAGTTTTGAAAGTAAAGAGTGAAATCATAAAGATAAACAACAAGACTAATACTTTGATCATAGGAGTGTCTACCGCGGTCCGAAATAGTATGGAAGCAGCACTTAAACGTATCTTGACACCCAAGACTTCCCTAGACATCCTACGTGACATTGAACAAGCCAAATTAGATAAACGACCTTATAGCATCTGTTTCATTGGTGTGAACGGTGTTGGCAAATCGACCAATTTGAGTAAAGTCTGTTTCTGGCTGCTCCAAAACAATTATAAAATCCTGATTGCTGCTTGTGACACTTTCCGTAGCGGTGCCGTTGAACAGCTCCGTGTACATGTCCGTAATCTTCGTGCACTTCAAACAAGCGGTGATGGCCAAGTTGAATTATTCGAGCGTGGTTATGGAAAAGACTCTGCAGGAATTGCCAAAGATGCCATCAGCTATGCTACTGCCAATCATTTTGACGTGGTCTTGATCGATACAGCAGGCCGTATGCAAGACAATGAACCACTGATGAGAGCACTTTCTAAACTCGTATCTGTCAACCAACCAGACAAGATCATCTTTGTGGGAGAAGCCCTAGTGGGCAATGAAGCAGTAGACCAATTAACCAAATTCAATCAAGCGCTCAAGGATTTTTCTGGTTTACAGAATCCAAGACATATCGACGGCATGATCCTAACCAAATTTGATACGATTGATGATAAAGTAGGTGCTGCCCTTTCCATGACCTACATCACTGGCCAGCCTATTTACTTTGTGGGCACTGGACAAACATATACGGACTTAAAAAATCTCAAGGTGTCTCATGTCGTTCATAGTTTACTAAAGAAATAATAAACTATTTATTTCTATGTACGCTTTTCTTTTGCGGACTTATTCTATGTATCTCACACCACTCTCCACTCATCACATCTAGTGACTGAATATAATACTGCTCTAAGCCTACAATAGCTTGTTCTTCCTTTTGAATTCTCAGCAAGTTTTTCTTGGGCTGTCCGTTCTTTGACCAATTATCTTCTAGTTCCTGCTGCTTCTGAATCGTCTCAAATGACTGAATGGTCGACTCATGATTTTGTAATGAGGCTCGCTTAATGTAGCGACGAATTGGCGTAAGGTTAAATGTGGAACTGATTCTTTCAATAGGATCATATGCTGATTCTTTTGACTCTGTGGTTGGTATGGTTTCTCTTACAGGGGGTAATAAGTCTTCTTCGGATACATATCTAGTAGTCATGTATTAGCCTATTGAAATCTCTTTTTCATTATCTTACATTTTCTTTCCCTTTGTATCCAGATCACGTTGCTGCTTCTGTTTTTGCTGTTGAGGATGTTGTTGTTGTTGTTGTTCATCTTCCATCGTTTTTACAAATGATTTAACTGGAGCTGGAGCTACTTTGCCCCACACATGTTTGTTTGTTTGATGAGATGAGGATGATGAAGGTTCTTGTAACTGTTGTTGTAACTTTCTTCTTTCTTTTTGTGATATCTTTTTGGGTAAAGAAGACTACATATATCCAGTGAATACAAAACTCATCGTATTCACCTCTTTTGGCAAACCTTTGCTAATTTAGATACAGTATCGGTCGTTTGATGTTCTTCTTCCAAGATTTCGCGTAAAGACGGCCTGACACTATTAAAAACACGATTGGTAAAACTTTCATTTCTCTTATTTCTTTTTTTTTTTTTTTTACAGACTTTGAATGTATTCAGTACGTTCATCAGACGACTCTGGTAGAAAAAAGAAGAACAAGAATAGTAAAA